GTTATTCATTAAATTAAAATACCAAACCAGTCCAGTTACATGAAAATTCTTTTGAAGGTTTGATAGTATTTACAACACAAATGTAATAAGCACAATATAAATGCACAACGTCTGTCTGTTTATAAAGGCCATAAAATAATACATACACACATTGTACAGTTGTGTAATGTTCTGGTGGTGTTTGTAATTTTGACAAAAATAATCTCCCATTAATAATCTCTTGTACTACAGTCTACAGCTGCTTTGTTCTGCTGAACAAAACAAGACGATCTCCATTGAGACCATTTCCAGACATTTCAGCTCAGTATTTACAGGGAGAATAAACTTAAGGTTGATAACATTACTGACAACTATTTAGCACATAACGTCCATAACTCAGACCGCTCTAGATCTCGGAGCATGGAAATTGACCTTACAGTACCATCTTTAATTTCACTATATCCAGTCTGTGAAACTGCCTAAACTGCTTCATGTGCACAGTCATTTTTTTTAACACACACACACACAAATGTACAGAGATACCAACATTTCATGTTGGAAAAATACTGCACCAATGAACATTTTTCATCTAAACGTTCCTTTAGTCTGTCACTGACTCTTTGGCACAGCTGCACAGATTCAGAGAATTGATGTTCCTATGAGATGTGACTTAAATTTACTTTCTTACTCAATATAAGGCACTAAAAAAAAAATTGACAGACAAATAAGTGTCATCTTCCTCATGCTAATAAACTGCCGTCTTTAAATAAACAGAAAATGATTTTTTTTTGTTCCGCTACAAATATTTCACCCCAAGTGCAAAAAAATAAAAACCGAACAATTCTTCACCACATTGAGGAAATACGTCCTCAAACAACTGCAACCCAACACATCCTTCACATTCAGAAACCAAAATATTAATCCATCATATCAAATGAGAAAAGAGAGTTGCAACAAAATATGATGTATTAGTAGATGGTAGATTTGAACCTCATATTGATCATACAAGTCTCCCTTTGTTCTCACCCAGGAGAGCTGTAATTGTTACTGAAAGCAGCAAATAGGATCTTGTAGTTAGTTAGTTGTATAAATATGTAGCTGTGATAACAGTAGTGCAGATTTTTTTTAGGGTTCATCATCCTTCATTGGTCCAGTTATCCAACTGAGTGAGGAAAGTTCTGTCTCTGAAAGTTCAGCTGATAGATTTCCTCATTTCAGTGGTTAAGATGTATTTTGGCGCCCTCTGTAGGTCAGAGCTGGTATTTCATGCTGTGATGTCAGGCTTCAAGGCCTCCATCTCAGACTCTTGTTCTTCGTTCCTGTGAGAAAAAGTACTCTTATTGTCAGCAGCAAGTGTTGCTAACGTGACTCATGACATTTTATAAGACCTTTGTAAAAAAAAAAGAAAAAGAAAAAAAGAAATAAAATCGTAAGTATATGTCCTACCGCAGTAGCAGCTGCAGCTGTTTGTTGTTGTACTGCCTGCGTTCTTCATTGATGGGATACGTTTTAAAGATGAGAAGCCCCAGTGCTATAAGTGATACAGGAGCAGCCGACACCAGCATCTTCAATGTCAGATTCACAGAATCAGACTGAACACAAACTCCCGTCACATAACCTGCAAAGCTAATGGGACAGAATCAGAAGAACCTAAATATGAGCAGATGAAATATGAAGGCCAGAATGTAAATCACAGATCATGATCCGTTTACAAACCCATAAAAGGGCTTTTTAATACACACACACACACACACACACACACACTGAGGAATATAAAGTTACCTTAATGCTAGTGTTGATACTCCAAGTGACACTCCAGAGGCGAATTTGGTGAAAAAAACATAGAAAGAGTAGAAAATAGCTTCATGGCCTTGAGAGGTGGGATTCTGGACTTTAAAATCATCTACAACATCTGGAAGCATGGACCTGAAATAGAAGCATCTATATGTGTGAAATTATGAACTTGGTATATAATTCATCCTGGTATGGGATCAGATGACTGTATTCTACTTCAGTTTTTTTTTTTTTTACAATGAAGTTTATTTCTGTGATAGCAAAACCACATTTTCAGCAGCAATTACTCCAGTATTTAGTGTCACATGATCCTTCAGAAATCATTCTAATATGCTGACTTCGATGATAATAAGAAATCTAATAAAACTAAAATCTTAATAATCAATGTTGAAAACAGCTGCGTAATATTTTTTAGAACCATGATACAGTTTTCAGGATTCTTTGACGAAGAGACATTTCAAAAGAACAGCATTTATTTAAAATAAAAATCTTTTGTAACATTATAAATTTAATACATCCTTGCTAAATCAGACTATTCATTTCTTATTGACCACAAACTTTTGAATGGTAGTGTATATATAAAATATGTGGATATAATATCTTAATTTGTTTGTTTTAGTGAAGGTTCTTTATAGTTAGTTATTTACAGTTATTTATTTTTAAACATAAAATAATCCAAATGTCTTAATGTATTACCATATTCAGAACATTTAATAACGTTTTCCTTACTAATTTTTTAACATTGTACAAAAAATGAGAATAATCTATAGCAAAATAAGAAAAGGGCATTATTAGTTGCATGAATGATTTATGTTCATATTAGTGAATGGCAATAGCATCAGGAGTTTGGTTCCCATGTAATAACAACTAGCAAATCAAGTCACATTGGGTACAGGTGTCTGCTGAATGTATAAATGTAAATATTTCCCATTCATGATTCTTTTTGGGAAGTCATTTCTATAGCTTTTTGTTATAGATGCTTCCTTTTAATATCAGCTAGCAGACATCCTGAAATACACCTCCGTCTTCTTTTTCTTTGACTATACAGAACAACTGGAACAGAAAAACACTCACCAGGGCAGGAGGAAGGCCACTGCCACACTGGCACCAGCTGCGATTGATACGATGTAGGACACGAAGAGACTACTCTTTACACACACCACCAGGATCACGAAGGGCACTGCCCACTAAAACACAAACACAAGATTAATCATGACTGCCAACAAACACATCTCACACTAATGTAACACAAGCATCAGAAACTCACTGGTATGCCAATGTACACAGCAGTCTTTTTGCCAAACCGGCAGAGGAACCACTGCCACATGGGAATAGTAAGAGTGGCAGACAGCTGGGAAGACAAATCACACAAACAGTTATTTACGTTTGACCCCCTACAAAACCTCATTACCATATTATGCAACTCCAAGATAATAGTGCAAACACTGCTGAAGTTATAAACAGTCTTTTCATCGGTCAACTCAAAGTCATGCTGCTTCTAAACCAGAAACGCATGTCTTTCATCACTATGGAGACTGCTAACCTCATCCAAATTGCTGAGTGCTGTTAAAACACCCAACCAAACAATTCAGAAGCGCACAAAAACACTTATTCAAGCAGTCGGTTAAAAACACTCTCACCATGATGACCAGTAAGATGTTCTGAAAATCCTCTCTGAATCCCAGTGTGTACTTGATGAACACAGCAAAATTTCCCTCCAGCAGCTGAGAAAGGAAAACAGACCGATGAAATGAGATTCCATCAAGCGACTGATGATTATTGTCCATACAGTGTCTTCATTTCAAACCCAACCTCAGTCTCAAAACAATTCTGAACTGCACATTTGACTGCAAACCTGTCAAAATGCTGACTATGATTCTAAACCTAATCTCTTGCATGGCAGTCTGTCTCTCTCTCTCTCTCTCTGTTTTAACACACAGAGCTCATCTCTGTAACGTAGAGCTGTGCTGTAGTCAGTTCCAGAAACTGCTTTCTCTCATACATATCACCTGAAAAACTGTCTAGTGAAAACACAAAGTTTGCATCTTTGTAAATGATGTGGAATGAAATCTCGTCATACAACAGAAATGAACATAGGTACAACTAAGCATTTCAGAACAAATGTGACATGTTTTAGATGCATCTCTAAAGTGCTTTTCTTACCATGAAGGCCAGAGAAGTGAAGAGGAAGGCCAGCACCAGTTTAACATATGGCCCATGACCCATCACCAGCCGCAAACCGGTCTGAAATGACACATGCTTCTGTGCTTTTAAACCACCCTGATCTGAAAAAGACAAGAGGAAAAACAATAAATGCACCAAAATACACATTAAATGTTGATACACCAAGTTTCTTTGTGAACGGTAAACAGCCTACAATTACACCAGAGTTTCAACATGGGTTTGCGAACCCCTGGGGGTTCATGAAGGGAACTGCAGGGAGTTCATGAGTTACTGCAGAAATGAACATAGGTACAACTAAGCATTTCAGAACAAATGTGACATGTTTTAGATGCATCTCTAAAGTGCTTTTCTTACCATGAAGGCCAGAGAAGTGAAGAGGAAGGCCAGCACCAGTTTAACATATGGCCCATGACCCATCACCAGCCGCAAACCGGTCTGAAATGACACATGCTTCTGTGCTTTTAAACCACCCTGATCTGAAAAAGACAAGAGGAAAAACAATGCACCAAAATACACATTAAATGTTGATACAGCAAGTTTCTTTGTGAACGGTAAACAGCCTACAATTACACCAGAGTTTCAACATGGGTTTGCGAACCCCTGGGGGTTCATGAAGGGAACTGCAGGGAGTTCATGAGTTACTGAGAGGGTAATATTTAAATTATAAAATGACAACATTTAAATTATAAAAATAAAAATTGTATTTTATGTGTACAATTATAAAAAATTTAAAAATACAATCTTAATACAAATATGAAATATTTTATTTGTTTACCTGCACAGGTAATACTAATAGCATTATTAATTAATTTGGTCTCATCAACTAACACTGAACAAATAGCATTTATTAAGCTAGGTTTGATGTTCATTTATAAATATTCTATCATTTATTGTTAATCCATGTTCATTCACAATACTTCAACTATTATTTTAAACAACTTAAAAATGTTAAAAAGTGTTAGTATATAAAGAACATAAACAAATATTAATAAACAATGTAAAAGTATTGATCACTGTTAGTTTATGATACTTAATGCTTTAAGTAATGTAATAAAAGTATTACCATTATATCGCTATTCCCTTGCTGTAAAATGGTTTCTCTAGGCTTATTTTTGTATTCCATATTTTGTAAAGACTCAGTGTGAATAATGTGAATGTGTATGTAAAGGGAAGTAACTCACTGTCCTGCTCTCTCACTCCAAAAAACAGCACAACAGCACACAGGACATAGATCAAACTTATGACTGCAGATGCAATCATATACGCAAGCCTCTGTGAAAGAGAGAGATATGATGATTGAGGTGCCAGAGGTTGATGAGATATGAAACCGTCTTCTGCTTTATAATGACCACGCCCCCTCTCACCTCATTAAAAACTTTGTTATCCAGTAACTGAGAGTTATTGCCATGCACAGAGTGATTGGAGCTGTTGGTCGGGGATGTGTTGTTAATGCAGGGGGTGTTGGCCATGCCTACAATCTGCCCCTGAACGGCAGTGCCAATTACTGTACCCAATACCTCTACAGTCATGCCTGAGAGAGAAAGAGAACAGAAAAACAGTCAGATTGTTTACGCTGGGAAGAACAGGTGTCACACATAACACACTACCATTCAGAATGAATTCTTTTATTCAGCAAGGATACATTAAACTGACCAAAAGTGACAGTAAAAAACACATATCATTAAATGTATATTTCAATTAAATCATGTTGTTTTGAACTTGTGCATCATAGATTCCTAAAAATAATGTATAAAGGTTTCCACAAAAACATTAAGCAGCACAACTTTTTTCAACATTGATAATAAGAAATGTTTCTTGCTTTTACAGTTATTATGTGGTTGTTGCATGTATTATCTAGCAGATTGCAACAGTAAGGCATAAAAATGAGTGTAAATGCTCTTACGGTACGCTGTGGCTGAATCTCGTTCCTCCTGTTTATTGCTGATGAACATGGTCAGAGCGGAGTAAGGCACATGAAAGCACTAAACACACAAACACACAGAGTTACTCACTGACAGAATGGCATAAATATGCTAATTAACAAATGCAATGATTATGCAATACCAGTCAAAATTTTGGACACACCTTCTCATTCTCATTATTAAAACTACAAAACAACACAAATGGAAGTATGAATATGTGATTTAAACTATTTTTGCTATGATTTGCTATGCATGCATCCAATGTATCCTGTCCTACTCATCCATTTTTTCAAAAAAAGCAATAAATAAATACATTAAATAATGAGTATTTAAGTAGTTAGTTGAAAAGACATTCAAGCATAAACATTTAGATTAACCCTTTTTAAATCCTTTGTGTCCTAATGTTTGACAAGTAGTTGACATACAAGTATATAAATATATAGCATCACAGTATATAATGATAAATTGAATTCCTCAAAAACTAGAAGAATGTGTACTAACTGTTTGGAGAGTCTGGAAGAGACAGTAGAAGAGCAGATACCACATTATCTTTCCCTGCTCTATAGGCGGAACTACCCATATCAGGAAATAACACAACACAGCTGGTATGGTGGACACCAGAATCCTGCAGAGAGAAAACAGTCATCTTCATCTAATTGTACTAAGGCTTGTTGCAGATGTTAAGCTTTAGGGGAAGAACCGGGAATGCACAGATCGGTTAAGAACTTATGCAAAAACCCCACACAGCATCTCTGCTCGTGTAAGGTTTGAGGATGAATATGATCACAGTGGGGTGTGTATGAACTCATCTGTATGAGGTTAAGTGAGGTAATGAGCATGAACCTCATCTCTATGAAGTTTACTGATCTTATATAAATATATAGCATCACAGTATATAATGATAAATTGAATTCCTCAAAAACTAGAAGAATGTGTACTAACTGTTTGGAGAGTCTGGAAGAGACAGTAGAAGAGCAGATACCACATTATCTTTCCCTGCTCTATAGGTGGAACTACCCATATCAGGAAATAACACAACACAGCTGGTATGGTGGACACCAGAATCCTGCAGAGAGAAAACAGTCATCTTCATCTAATTGTACTAAGGCTTGTTGCAGATGTTAAGCTTTAGGGGAAGAACCGGGAATGCACAGATCGGTTAAGAACTTATGCAAAAACCCCACACAGCATCTCTGCTCGTGCAAGGTTTGAGGATGAATATGATCACAGTGGGGTGTGTATGAACTCATCTGTATGAGGTTAAGTGAGGTAATGAGCGTGAACCTCATCTCTATGAAGTTTACTGATCTTTCCCCTGTGGCTCTAAACAAGAGCCTCTGCTGCGCAGGGTTTCATTGGATGTTTAACTAACCAAGCCAGCTAGAATTTGGCAGGATGTGAAAAGGATTTCTCTAATCACACCACCTCATTTTAAAAACTGCACTAATCCGATCAGAGAGTCTACTAGGAAAACAGTGACCATTAAGAGACACTTCGAAATCGAAAGTTCAGACTGACAATGACAAGTGTATACAGCAGGAGAGAAAAACATCTTACACTGAGCTCCTCTTTCATTTCTATGATCAATACAGGGGCGGTGGAGACTTCAGAATCTGTATTGGCCACATTGCATTTTGGAATACAGTATTTTCCATTCTGTGTGCTCCATTGTATACTTTTTGCAAATGTAATAGGTTACATAAATACAGCACAATCTGTGTAGTATGAGTCACAAACAAATGACTAAAAGAAGGAAAATCCTTTAATGAATCATTCTAAAAGAAAGGAGTGATGCACCAAAATTTTGCCCAACACACAGAAAATCAAAGAATTTTTGAAGGCGAAATCATTTATCTAATCAGTGACATTTAATTAGCAGTGACATTTAACAGCAGTGTTTGCTTTACCATGACCAAAAATTAGCCAACTATGACCGGTTCAACTTTGAGAACATGACAGAACAGCATCCGGAATTAACGAATTGCCCAAATTGAATAACTGAAACGTTATTTTCGGTTTTAGCTAAATGAAAAGTTTAATTTTGGATTCGACAAAAAATTATTTTGGTGCATGACTAGATTAAAAAGTGTCTGCTAAATGAATATATGGAATGTATTATTACTTTAAGCAATGTCAGTCTATAAATGAAGCAAGATTTGTGCAATTCGGGACATTTATATTAATATCATAATTAATGATTGACTGACTGTGCATATGACAGCGTGTACTCATGACCAATCACTGTTCAGCACAGCATAAACAGCAGTGAAGCCACCAGCATAAGACGGCTACCTCTGATATGCAGAGAGGAAACAGTTAATGTCTTATTCAGTCTTGCAGATGCATGACAGTCTAGAATTGCAGCTGCTCTGTTCTTTGTCATAAGTGCCCCACAGGAAGCTGTAAAACCCTCCTAGTCTATTACTGGAGTTGCCCACCCTGGAGAAGTCCAATACATGCCAAGTCCCAGTAAGTAAAAAATATTTTGCTCCACTTCCTTCTCATAAACAGCACTGATATCTTCATGCCACCAGGCTTTTAAAGTGCACACCCTACAGAAACCAGGTGATTAGCAGAACACTTTAGCACCACAATACATGCCTGTCATGATATTACATCAATACATTGACAGAAGGTATTGATTTTTGAATGGGCAAATTAACTTTTAATCTCGTAGTTAGAAGGGACAACATGGTCAAAACAAAATATGTTGAATGTATTTGAATGAAATGTATTTTTGAAAAAATAAATAAATACACAATGCATCACATCCTATAAAAAGACATAGAATGTCTCAGACTTCTGACATTGCCAGTGTATGTGACTGCCAGGTATTGCATTACATTTTTATGCATTTGTACATTCGTTTTTTAAATTTCTATTTTTTTTATTTAAATACATTTCAAAAATATACATTTCTAAAAAATAGATTTTAAATAAGTATTTATAATTTTCTTATTGTGGTCAAGAAATCTCTTGTGGTCCGTTCCAAAACTGAAACTGCTAGCATTAACAAACTGCTGTTTTAAACTACCTCTCTCAGCTCTCCTGCATGATGCTTACACTCTGATTGGTCAATTCTGGTGGTGTGGTCGACTAAGCCAATCAGAATGCAAGAGGTTTTTTCTGCACTCAACATCCGTTTTCTCACATGCCATTAATCCATACACAGACACACACACCTTACAAACATAACAATAAATTTGCATTGTATTTTACTTCAACCCCTTGATCATATCTTGTTTTCTATGCCTGTATTCATACTGCACAAACTAAATATTGGTGTGACAATCTTCAATCCATTAACTTTATTAAAAAGTTTCTATTTCACACCATTAAACAAGAATCATTTTCTCAGAATTGTTAGGCTGGATAGTGTTTCATAATGAACACTTACAAAAAGAACCAGCGAGTTCCTACTAATAAAGTGTGAGGGTGTGTGTGCCCTTTAGTGATGGGGATTGTAGATTTTTGCTGTATACTTTTCATGCCACATCTGAGTGCATGCATAAACAGTCAGCAAAATCCCAGAGAAATGATAACACGTGGTGCTCTTGTACACTCTAGTAACCTCCTGTACACACAACCCAGAGCAGATGGACTCGGCTCTATCACCATGGCTACTGCTCATTTCTGTCTTTAATACGTCTCTCTTTCACGCTCTGTGAATACCCACCCAGTCCCAGAGTTTCAGCTTAGTAGATACAGAGTTTTCATTTCCTTTTAATTTCCTCATGAATTTAGAAAACACTACCATGCATATTCCACATCCAGCACACATTACTAGATCATTTCATTGTGTGCATTTCTGACTATCACATACCAGGGCATCATACGTCCGTGCCGTGTCCATGGGCTTCTGCTTACTAAAAACCCAATTGCAGGATCAGTCACAGCATCCCAGGCCCGACCCACAAACAGGATCACAGAAGCATTGAGGGGATCCAACTAGAAAAACAGATTTAGTCATTAGTTAATGTAGGATTTACAGTACAGACTGTAGAAAAATAAGAATTGTTAGAAACTGCTGCCGAGAAACCTGGAAATGTGAAAAAGGTCTATTGTCATAAAATGTGAACTGTAGCCTATTATCACACAGTTCTATTATATATAGTTGGATATATAAATATAT